TATATATATATATATATATATATATATATATATATATATATACATACAGGGATCACAGTCATTATTAGTGAAGATCCTGGTACATTGGAGGCATGTTTATATTATGGCATAACATACCATTTTTTTTGCTTTTTTGTGTTTGTGTGTGTTGAACATTGAAAACTTTGTGATGTGTGACTCATTCTGCTTGTTCCTGTTGTATATTTGAGGCATTTTTTTTGTACCTATAGTTAATTGGCTCCAAAGTATTAAATTAAAAAGTTGTACTTTCCACACAGCATTCAATGAATTTTTGAAGGGCAGCTAGATTTATTTTAAATCAACAAAACGTTTCAATTTATGCGTTAGATGAAAAGCAGCACTGAAAACTAGAAATGTAACATAGGGAGTAATTTGATTTCAGCTTTATTATTATCATTATTGTTGTTGTTATTCGGTGGAACAGTGGCTAAAGCGGTCATCTCACAGCGAGGTCACAGAATGACCTCCAGGTCTGGGACCTTTCTGAGTGGATGTACTCCAGTTTCCTCTCATAGATCAAAAGCATGCATCTTAAATGAACAATGATAATAACAATGCATTTTATTTGTTAGTGCCTTTCAAGACAGCCCAGGGCACTTTTAATGTAGCCGTTTTTGTATAGGTTTTTTAAATATAATTTCTTCCATTTACTTTTCATTTTATATGCTTTTTCATAATTGTCTACTGTTATGTATGTAACATATTTTGTTTTATAAGGACTGCATTGTCTCAGCTAAATCTGCATACTACTCTGGTTTAATCAGTTCTAATGAAGGTAACTCCAAATCTCTGTTTTCACTGTTTGCCAAAATTACTAAGCCTCTGGACTCATTTCCCTCCCACATGTACTCTGCTGACTTTTGCAACTCTCTCATGTCCTTTTTCACTGACACAATTTCCAATTTCCAGTATCCACCAACTACTTAACCTGTAAGAGCTGCTAACACTGAAGCTGATCCTGTTTTCCCTGCTGCCCTCCTGTCATTTACTCTCAAGTTTCACCCTTCCTTCCATATCTGATGTAACAAATATTATTCATAAATCAAAATCATCCACCTGCCAGCTTGACCCTCTTCCCACAGTGTTAGTTAAAGCTGGTCTCCCCACATTGGTTCCTCTCATAACCACTATCATTCACTCTTCCCTTAATACTGGAATTGTTCCTTCATCTCTGAAAACAGCTTCTGTCACTCCAATTCTAAAAAAGCCTGGTTCAGATCCTAATAATTTTGATAACCTTCGACCAATATCTAATCTTCCTTTTATTTCAAAAATCCTTGAGAAAGTTGTTGCCTCTCAGCTCCACTCACACCTTAATAAACATAATTTTTACGAACAATTCCAGTCTGGTTTCCGCCCCCACCACAGTACTGAAACAGCTTTATTAAGAATCACCAATGACCTTTTGATGGCAGCTGATTCTGGTCTCCTCAACATTGTCATCCTCCTTGATCTCAGTGCGGCATTTGACACTATTTCTCACAATATCCTCCTGAACAGACTAGCATCCATTGGCATCAGTCATACTCCACTTAATTGGTTTAATTCATATATTTCAGGCCGCACTCAGTTTATTCAATTTAAAACCCATTCCTCAAGTTTGTTTCCAGTTGCTGCCGGTGTGCCCCAGGGTTCTGTATTAGGGCCCCTTTTATTTATTATTCATATGCTCCCTCTTGGCCACATATTCCGCAAACATAATGTCAATTTTCACTGTTACGCAGATGACACCCAGCTCTACATTTCCTCAAAACCCAATTCATCTCTTCCACCTTCCTCCCTATCGGACTGTCTTATGGAAATTAGATAATGGTTTTCCTCAAATTTTCTTAAACTCAACAGTAAGAAAACAGAAGTTTTACTTGTTGGCACAGTCTCCACTTTAACCAAATTGCATAGTTTTTCCATTAATATTGACAACTTGCATGTTCATCCTTACCCTCAGGTAAAGAATCTGAGCGTCATACTTGATAATATGCTTTCTTTTCAATCTCATATTAACTCTATCACCAGGTCTGCATACTTTCATTTACATAACATCAACCGACTTCGTCCCTTTCTTACTCCTCATGCTGCTGCCATCTTTGTCCATACTCTTAACACCTCCATGATTGATTATTGCAACTCTCTTTTTTTGGTCTCCCGAATAAGACTCTCCATAAACTCAAACTCCTCCAGAACTCTGCAGCTCGGGTCATAACTTGTACTCCATTCAGAGAACACATCACCCCGGTTCTGCAGCAGCTTCACTGGTTGCCCATAGAAGCTAGAATAAATATTTAAATTTTAACTCTCACGTTCAAGTGCATCCATAACCTCGCCCCTCCTTACCTGTGTGATCTGCTTCACATCTCCACTGCTTTCCGTTCCCTCAGATCCTCATCTGCCACTCATTTTATTGTTCCTTCTGCCCGTCTCGTCACCATGGGGAACAGAGCCTTCAGTCGCTGTGCTCCTCAGCTCTGGAACTCCCTCCCTCCTGTCATCAGGAACACAGACTCTCTTCCCTCTTTTAAATCACAACTGAAAACACACCTGTTCAAACAGGCATATTCTCTTTAACTTTGTTTTAAGTGTTGTTTTATCGTGACTTATTTTAATTATTTGTTGATTCTGTTTTTATTAATTGCTTATTTTAATTGTTTTTGTAAGGTGACCTTGGGTTTTTGAAAGGCGCCCTGAAATAAAATCAATAAGACTAATTTGTATAAATAAAAGGTTGAATTGATTTAAAAAAAAAACTAAATTAAAAACAACACAGCACAAAATCAAAATAAAAAAGACACAGATTAAGACTGAAAAACTAGCAGAATGACAAGAAATTAGGGTGAGAATGCTAACTTGAACAGATGGGTTTTGAGTTGTGATTTGAGTCAGAAGAAAGTCACTATTGTGGATGTCTGGTGGAAGATCCTCCAGAGTTGGGGAGCAGAGTGGGAAAAAGTTTGGTTTCCCTCTATGCTGAGGCAGACAAGAGCCCAGTGAGGTGGATAGAAGAGGAAGAACAGAGGGAACAGGAAGGGGAAATGATGTGCAGAAGATCAGAAAAATAAGGAGGGCTGAGGTTGTCGATGGCCTTTAATGTTTACAGGACAATTTTAAATTGAATTCTGAAAATGACCAGTCGAGTAGGACTTGGTGAAAGGAGGAGGTTTTGGTAATGATGTGGACAGCTGAATTTTGAAACATTTGAAGCTTTGGGAAAGATTTGTGAAAATCTAAGAGGAGAGGTTTATGCAATAATCTATACATGAAACAAAACTATGAACAAAGATGAAAGCTGAGGGCAGAGTCTGTTCGTGTTTTGAAGGTGGACAAATAAAGACCAGGTAATGTTACTGATGTGAGAGTGCTGTCAAGAATGACGACCATACTTAATCTGAGGGTAGGGAGGAACCAGAGAAGATGAGGAATAAACTGCTGACTTTGAATTTGGTGAATTTAATACAAATGAGTAGAAACTCAGTTTGTCACTGTTTTATTTAAGGAAGTTTGACATGAACCAGGTTTTAATTTCATCTAAGCAGGAAGTGAGGGAGGAGTGTGGAAATGAAAAAAATGTTGAGGTGAATAAAAGCACAGCAATGAATATAGATGTCAAATTTACAAAAGAAAATGTTGCAAAGGGGAAAAAGTTAAGTGGTGAAAAGAAGGTCCCCCAGGACAAAGCCTTGGGGCACACCTGAAGTGATGGGGAGGAATGGGATTTGAATTATTTGAGTTGGATGAACTGAGAGTGGCCAGATATGACTGAAACCACACAATGGGAGTGTGGGTGATGCCAGGGGATGAAAGTCGTGTGAAGGAGGATGTTGTGGGAGATGGTCGCACTCAGATCAAGGAGGATAAGAAGGGAAAGCAAACCAGAATCTGCTGCCATGAGAAGAGCACTGGTGATTCTTAGGAGAGCAGATTCTGTGCTATGACTGGGGTGGAAACCAGACTGGAATTGTTCATAAAGACTGCTTTGTTTTAAATGGGAATGGAGTTGAGAGGCAACAGTCTTTTATGAATTTAAAGTGAGATTGGATGGAGAATACTGAAGTTATTATGATCAGACCCAGGTTTTTCTTTTACAGAAAAGGGGTGACAACTGCAGTTTTGAAAAGAGTTGGAACAATTGAGAAAGAGTGAATGATGACATACATAAAAGGAAGAAGAGAAGAAAGGCAATGCTTTACTGTCAGGGGAGGATCTAGTGAGCACGTGGAAGGCTTGGATTTCTGGATAAGGTCAGTGATTTCAGCAGTAGAAGGAAGCTCAAAGTTAGACAATGACTGACTGATGGGAGGAGGTTCAGATGAGGGGAAAGATGGAGACACAGGACAAAGTTGCTGATGGATTTTTTTCATCATAAAAAAATTTAAATTATTAAGAAAAAACTGGTGACTCTTTGTGCCCCGTGACGGCCTTGTGACCTGTCCTCACACATTGACGTCTGGAGATAAACACCAACTTCCCAAAACCCCTAAAAGGAGAAGTGGGTTAAAGAAATGGATGGATGGATTGCTGTCATTTGTTTGGGTTTTCATGTTGGTACTTCACCACCATCTTGTGGCCAGCTGATAGACTGCAGCGCAGTAGAAGTACCCAGAGGTATTGACCCTTGGCTGATCGTTTTACATCTTCAGGTACAACTCCTATTGGTTTGAGGGATACCCAGGTCTTTTGGGTGTCCAAGATTGCCAATGGTTTCTGTACATGTATGATTCTGGCTTTTGGCAACTCCCATCACTTAGTTCTGTTTACCACCATGTAGTTTCACCAGTGTCCTGCTATAAATAATGGTAATGTTATTCAGTGAGTCATCGTAAGGCTACTTGGTGGTCAGTGCTGCAGCCTTTCACCTTAAGGTGGGGGGTTATAATCCATCCATCCATTATCATACCTGCTTCTTTCTTTTTGGGTTGTGGGGGTCACTGGTGCCCATGTCCAGCAGTTACTGTGCGAGAGGTGGGGACACAGGTCTCCAGTCCATCACAGGGACACACAAAGACAAACGAGAAACATCTATTCACTCTCTCACTCACACCTAGGAACGATTTAGAGTTACCAACCAGTCTAACATGTGTGTTTTTGGTCCGTGGGAGGAAACTGGAGTACACAAAGAAAATCCATGCATGCACAGAGAGAACATACAAACTCCACCCAGAAAGGCTTTTGAACCGGGATTTGAACCAGTGTAACCTGCTCACTGAAAGGCAGCAGCTCTACCAACTGTGCCACCGTGCTGCTGGGGGTTATAATTACTGTACTCACCAAAATAAGCTTTTCTTTTTTGTAAGGAACAACGGTGCAGTCGTGCTCTTTCCACATTTCATTTGCACAGTACAAACGAAACCAGCTACGAGTAAACGTGCTGTTTATGGCACCTGTTCACTCAATCTGAAAACCTACTTGGTTTCTATCAACTGTGTCCAACTTCTGCTCCACAGTAAACCACAGATCGTTTTGGTTTTAATTGACCAACAGGTAGCGAAGTTCCTTCTGACGGGAGACAACAGTCTGTACATCCTCCTGCCAAACACCAACACGCTGATTGACCTGCAGCAGGTGGAGAGGAGGATGACAGAAGGAAACGTGCGCCAGATGATACAGCAGCTCAACGCAGCGTCACCTCAGAGCATGGAGGTCACTCTGCCACAGCTCAAGCTGACTGCAGAGCCAAACATGATCACACTTCTCAAGAAATTAGGTTTGCTCATCCTCCATGTTTCTTCTGGTCATTTAGATGTTTTTCTCTGCCTCAGTAATTTTAACCCTTTCTTGTCTGCCCCTGACATCAGGTCTATCATCACTTTTTGAGGGAGCCAGCTTGTGCGGCCTCTCCCCCGATGGGGATCTGGTGCTGGGCGATGTCAAACACAAAGCTCTCCTCGCTCTGACCAATCAAGGAGTGGAAGCCAGCGCGGTGACCACCATGTCGTTCTCTCGCTCCTTCCCTTCCTTCAGTGCCCTGCGGCCGTTCCTCCTGCTGCTGTGGAACGACCGGGCGAACATGCCGCTCTTCATTGGCAGGGTGATGGAGCCTTGAGAGGCGTAACGTTAACCACATCTGCTTTTTCTAAACATTGCCATTAAATTCTGCACAGTCAGTGTTATTTTTCTTTCAAGCAGTAAATCCCCCCTTATAAAAACACATTCACGTTAGGATGACATGCACCTAAAAATATAACAAATAAACAGAGAATTATGCAGCTTGTGGCGTGTCTTTTTTAAAGAATTAGGCGCAATATGAACTGAAAGAGCTGAAGTTTATTTTGCGAAGTAGTTACACAGACCCAACACAGGATGGCAGCCATACTGTGAGATTGACATTGACATTGAACACAAAGAGACTTCCCTTCTCAGTCCCACATCAGCCCTCCTGCATAATTACCAATATTGATTCAAGGAAGACAAGTGTTAAAGTCTGTGACAGTAAAGGTTTTGTTCGTTAAAGCAAGGGGTCGCTCCGTGAAGTGCAGCAAATGAGCAAAAGATACCCTGAATTTTTGTGGCCACCAACAAATGCAGAGCGAATGGACGACACAGACTGTAAACACATCAGTATTCAGAGTGATCAGCCACAGAGCTGCACTCCATTATGCAAGCTGATGGTGATTGCTAAACATGCAGCTGTATTGCAGATAAATGATTACATAAGCAAAAGCAAGGGGTCAATAGACAAGAGCCAGAAAATCCTGTGACTGTAAGCAACCGAAACAGAAGTGAGCAACCACTCAGGCAGAAATTTGAACTCCTATTGGATCACTGTTACTGGGCCTCAGTGCAAACAAAATGCTCAGTATTCCCAGAAAAACAACATGACAGTCCAGTTTTGGTTAGCTGAATATCTCACGCTGCGACTTTTTAATGTGCATAGAGAGAAAAAAAAGAAAAAATAACAATTTCCCCCAAACTGTTCATGAAGTTATTTGAGATGGATGTGTTTAAGCCCCTGAAGCTTTTGAGATGCTCAAGCCCTTAGGATAAACTATCTACCACAAAGGGATTAGACTTTTTGTGTCACCATTCAAAGGGTTACTGGAGGACATGGCAGGATGTGAAGAGTTGGATCGATTCAAAAGTTAGAAAACGTCTGACTGACTGTGTATTTTATCTGACAGAAGAAAACAAAACACAGAAGAGTAACAAAACACCGTAGGCATTCAAACAACTTTTTTACAGCAACATTATGCATAAATATGTACACAAATGCATAAAAATATTAAAATAAATGTGCATCTTAATTATTTTTTTATTCCACTGAATCCCAGTTTGAAAATATTCCCATCACTTTCTTACAGATGAGCTTGTTTTAATGTAATTTGTGGTTAAACTGTAAGACTGGACCAGTATGTCTGCACTGCTATACTGGCTGATCTCAACAGGAAATTATGTTTGACAGACAAGGCAATGGTTGGTCAGAGAAGTTATGCTCCCAGAGCTGAAATCTCAAACTTTTAAAAGAAATGCAAACACTGACGCGACAACTCCCTCTGATTATTTATGCAAGGTTCAGACAAACTTCTTTCATCTCTTGTTTTATAAGAAGACCATGCAACGTAGGGTTACCAAAGGTTTATCAAGCACTTGGTACGTTTTTTTTTTTAACACAAGCAGCAAAACCTAAACAATAAAATATATATATATATTGCCTTTCAATAGGGAAATATTACATCATCTGTGTCTGTACTGGAGCCACAGGTGAAAAGTGTATTCATCATAATCTAAAGTATGTTCCATAAACGAGATCAGGGGTTCTGTGGAAAGGTTATGAGTAGTCAATATCTCACTTGTTAGAGAAAGACCTTGACACCTCAGTTGAGATTGCTGTTTACTTTGCATTACATGGTTGTTTTGGCAAAAATATAACATTCCTGCTGAAAGCGTCCCAGAATGCACAGGGCATGCTACAGCTAGCTAGCAATACTAGCTAACAATCACAGAATTCTTTGTAAATTTAAAACAAAGACAATGTAGAGGTTTGTAAAATAGTGTTCTTATAAACTGCTGTGACATATTTTTAGAAGAGCAACGAATAAACCGGGGGTGTCCAAAGTGAGGCCTGAGGGACATTTGTGTCCCTTGGAGTGATTTTGTGTGGCTATATATATCTATATATTTAAATATGTATATATTTTAGGTTTAACAGCAAAACAGATGGAAAAAAGTCCAATAACAAAAACTTTGGCTAAGATGCAATACAAAGCACAAAACATTACTGATTTCCACCATAATTTAGATTTCTAGATAATAATTTAATATATAAAATATAATGTGGTATCATCTACATACAATTTGAATATTAGCGTTCCTTCAAATCTTTCGTGAATCTGTTTTAGTGACTGCCATCTGTATGACTTTTCAGAACTTCGATCAGCCTTTCGAGCCATACATGGCCCAAACGGGTGATCAACCATCGTGACTTTTTTTAAGAACAGCGACTCATATTACATTTGTGTTTCTGTGAATACACTAAAATGAACTTTCTAAGCAAAAGAAAATAAAAACCAAACAATCCAACAAATCAAAGCAATATATATATATATATATATATATATACATACATATGGTTAATCTGACAACAATTTAGAATTCCTCTGTTAGATTTAATAAACTCTTGTCCTTTTTCCAAAATATTGTTCACACTGTTGAGTTTAAAAAGGGAAAAGAAAATAATTAAAAAAATTGTATGCTTTGTTTCATCTTCAGTTTATTGTGGCCCACATG